TGGTTTGCTCAACAAATAGTTTTTTATTTGCATTATTTTAGGTTTGTGATAAAATAAGGAAAATCTGCTATAAGAAAATATGAATTGATGTTGGACTTACTTGTTTCTACACAATTTCATTTTTTAAGAAGAAAAGATAATGTATACTTACACCAATCTCTTACAATAAGAATCAAAGATTGGCTTGATTTACTTACACCTAAACATGTATAAACACACACACACACACACACACACACACACACACACACACACACAATTCTCTTTGCTTCTACAGCTACATACCAAATAACAGTTTATAGACCCAGTTTCTCTAGGGTTAAATAGGCTAAAACTAACATTCATTAATTCCATGAATTCTTAGTGAGGACTTTCCTTGAGTTAGGCATTATTCTAGATGATGGGAAAATAGCAGTGAATGAAATAGATAAAAAAAAAATTCTGCTTAAATGGAGTTTATATTCTAGTAGGATGGGGAGGAAGACAACAAAAACACATACGGGAAAGACTCATCACAGTGATGAGTACTATGGGGGGARAGCAGAGAACGCTGGGAGAAGAGAGGTGGGTACACTTTTTAAATACTGTAAATCTCAGTAAGTAAAAAGACCTAAAGAGCCACAAGGACATTTAGACCTAGAAGTGTAATAATAAGCAGGAATCACAAGTGCCAAAGCCTTGGTCCTGTTCCTAAATTCTTTGAAAAACGGCAGGACAGTCAATATGGCTGGAATGGAATGAGTGAGGGGAGAGGAAGAGCTGTTGAAGTTAAAGAGGAAATACAGGAATGGTTAGATTTTTATACGGCCCTGAGAAGGCTGCTCAATGATTTTTTTTTCCATTGTAAAATTAGGGTATAATTTACATATAGTTATTCTACAAGTCACATCCTCAGTCCTTTAAAAACAACAACAACATTTTCTTAAGAGACAGGGTCTCACAAAGTTGTCTTGCTAAATTACTGAGGCTAGCTTTGAGCTCATTATCCTTCTGCCTTAGTCTTTCAAACTGCTGGGATTAGAGGCTTGCCCCATAGTGTCTGGCTAACATAGTATCTTTTCTGATAGTTATATTATATTTAGACAGTAAAAAACATTCCAAGGGCTTGACTGACTTATACATAACATAATGTGAGTTAAATAAATATCCACGGCAGTTGATTTAATGTTTGCATGTAGAATAAGATTGATAAATATCTGCTGAACACTCACTGAATCAAAGAACTGAGAGTCAAAATTTTAGCTGAAACTTTCTTTACTTGCCCAAAATTTGGTGGCAAAAAAAAAAAAAATAGTATTCAGGAAGGATTTCTTGGATGCTCTGTAGTTCATACATCTCACTACTTACTGTAAATTCCATTTCTTAAACTGGCCTACCATACATATATATCATTTGGGCCTTTACAAAGATGATTTTACTAAATTGTGCTCTGGCCTTATTATTTTATATTTTAAAAGGTATAAGCAGCTGTCAGACAGACTTGTTATTATAGCTATGGCTGGCAATACTATTCAAAGATCCTGAACAGACACCAACAAGAAACATTGCTTAGTGCTAGAAAAATCAAGAGATCTTCTGAGTTATCACACTTTAATATTACACACAAAGTAAAACTTCTCAACTATCATATTTTCCTTTGTGTTGGCCCAAGAGAAGTACAGAACAAATTTTGTGGCTAATATTGAATAAATGTACAGACCCTATTATATGCATCTGGGGCCTGGGTTGGATTATCTATTGTCAACATTTAGTCTTACCATTCACTTTCACTTCCTTTAACTTCCTTTTAGCTTTTCTTTACCCTCACTTCTATATCTATTCTTCCTTTTTAAATCCCTTTGAATTGCATATATTTATATTTGTTACTTGAAACTGATTTTGGAAGGCATTAAAGTAAATATATAAATGAGTAAAAGAGAGAAGATTTTTGCTGTAATTTCTTTGTTTTTCCTTTGAATTGCTTTAGAGCTTTTCCCTTATGGCTAAGAACCAGATCAAGAAAGCTTTCTACATTTTACTAACAATCCAAAAGTTACCATACAGCAAAATGAGGCTGATCACTTAGTAATTTCCCTGGGACTACAGTGCTTTGACTATTCAATACTTCATTTTTCTAAAGGACTTTGAAATACTGGAGATAATAAAAATAATAAAACCATTCTTGTTTCTCAATGTAATTATATGGATTAGGATTTCCAGTTAGAAGGGAGGCAGTGTTACTGTGAAAAGTCAGGTGACCTGGCTTCTGATCCAGATTATGTGTTTGACCAGTTTGGTAATGACAAGCAAACCATATAATCAGATTTCTGAGTCTCATTTTTCTCAGAGGTTGCCCAATACCAGCTATTCCCTGGTACTGTAGTTTTATAGTAGACTAGTGTGCTGAAATATATTAACTGATATTCCATGAAAAAAAAAGGATCAAATAAATTTGGATAGACTGAACAAAATTAAGACCAACAGTCTCTTTTTTTTAAAAAAATATTTTTTTCTAGTTGTGGATGGACCTTTATTTTATTTATTTATATGTGGTGCTGAGAGTAGAACTCAGTTCCTCACACATGCTAAGCAAGTGCTCTACCACTGAGCTATAACCCCAGTCCTCAAAAGTTTCTTTCTTTTTTTTTTAAAGAGAGAGAGAGAGAGAGAGAGAGAGAGAGAGAGAGAGAGAGAGAATAGAATAGAATAGAATAGAATAGAATAGAATAGAATAGAATAGAATAGAATAGAATTTTAATATTTTTATTTTTTAGTTTTCGGCAGACACAACATCTTTGTTTGTATGTGGTGCTGAGGATTGAAACCGGGCTGCATGCATGCCAGGCGAGCGCGCTACAGCTTGAGCCACATCCCAGCCCCTCAAAAGTTTCTTAATGACAGGACTTACAACAGCATTTAATTGTGACTCCTGAGTGAGGGATGACAGAGTACACAGTATTATTCAAACTTGCACTGGATTTTGGAGCATTTTAGATTTTCAGGTTAGGGATGTTCAACCCATACAGAGTTTATGTAAGTCCATCAGAAGAAAGTACATATGTTACCAGGCTCTAAATTCAGAATGTAAAGTTAATTGTGTACTCTTGACACTTTAGCCAGTTAGTATACTTGAAGATATACTAGTAAGAGAGAGTGAGCATGTGTGAAACAGAGCACAAAGGAGCAGGAATCCTATTTTTAACCTATATTTCCTGGAATACAGCCTAAAAGGATAATGACCAATCTCTCCCTTATCTAAAGTTGCATGAAACTCTACATATATAACTCCTACAGACACATATTATGATTTATAGCCTTGGACTGAAAATGTAGTGTGAGAAAGAGCTTGAGTTGTAGTCATAAAGACCTAGGTGTCTACATGTGTAATTCAATGRGCTTCAGTTTTCTCATTTTTTTGGAGAATTTCTAACTTTGTATTTGTTTTAATGGTTAATGAGTAACTGTATGCAAAACAGCTTGCAGAGTTTGATACACAAAAGAGGCTCAACAAAATATTTTTAGCAATCAGAGCACAGAAACTAGGGTTTGTAGGTGTGGCATCTTGTACATATGTGTTAAGTATTAAATAAGTTTTCATTTCCAAACAGTGACATTTCATCATCTTTTAAGACCAGGCTCAAATTACTCCTTCCATTTGTTGTCTGATTATCAAAGCTGTAAAGGATTTTTCTTATGCCCTTGAAATCCCCAGGTATTTTGATTTCKCATATCCTGTATCATTTAGCATACTTTCTCCTTGATTTGCTGTTACTTGTAGACATGTTGTATCTTCTGTACAAGAATATAATCTGCCTTTTTTTTTTTTGTATTGGGGATTGACTGAACCCAAAGGCTCTTTATCACTGAGCCACATCCCCAGCCCTTTTTATTTTGAGATAGGGGTTCACTAAATTGCTGAGCCTGGTTTTGAACTTGTGATCCTTCTGCTTCAGCCTCCCAAGTTACTGGGATTACAGGCATGTGCTACTGTGCTTAGCTTGTAATCTGGTTTTGTAGGTAGAAAACATTTCATTATCCTGTTAAAAAAAAAGTGAGGACTGGGGATGTGACTCAAGTGGTAGTGCACTCGCCTGGCATGCGCGGGGCGCTGGGTTCTATCCTCAGCACCACACAAAAAATAAAAATAAAGATGTTGTGTCCACCGAAAACTAAAAAATAAATATTAAAAAATTGTCTCTTTCTCTCTCTTCCAAAAAAAAAAAAAGTGAGATAGGTAAAAAAAAGAATAAATGAAGGATGTAGCATCCTTTGACCAAGAATGATGACTAATGGGATTTTCCTCAGCCCCAGTTAGGGATCTCCAATTTTTTCCATAATTGATTTGATGGCTTCCTCTTTTTATAAATGAATCTTGCCATTAATCCCATGTCCAGAAAAAAGTATTAAAAATCTCTTTCTGTAAAGCTATTTTAAGGTCATTTGACACCCTTCTTTTTGTTCTGACTGCACTTGGGTCTAAATCTATCATAACTTTTACAAATATTACTATAATTCTTTTTATAAGACTATGAACTCCTGAAGGGCAGAACCCATGTCTGCATCACTATCCTCTAAGTATTGAGTATTCAAAAAATGTTTCCAAAACAAGTGAATATAAAATTCTCTACATTGATGCAGACATAAACTCAGAGTAAAAAAAATATCTGCCAAGCACATCTGCAAGATGCTGCATAAGTAACTCGCAATATCTTTTGATAGGTAACATCAAATACAGGGAAGGAAAAAAAATACAGTCTTTATGTTATTGGAGTGAGACAGTATCCAGGAAGGATGGGAAGCATCTGTTAGGTAACAAAAGGGAAACAGAATTGAAGATTATAGAAAACCATAAATCTAGTATGTGAACAGATATAAAGATCAGGAATAAAGAAAGGTCTTTCATTCTAAAATGAGTCTGAAAAGGCAAAAAGAAGTAAGTTGTAAGAAATATTAACAGCCTTAGTATCAAATACAGTAATACAACCCAGCTTTGAATAATTTTTCTTAAAATTATGCCGCACCTCACGTTCCTCTTCTTGCTCTTTGCGAATCTGCTCCAAACGAAACTGTTCTGCCATCTCTCTCTCATGAGCTTCCCTCTGTTGATAAAATAGATGGGGAGCAAGCATGTAATATATGTATATATATAAATATTATATTCTTTTTTAATAAATAAAATTTTATTTATTGGAGATTGAACCCAGGGCCTCATACAAGCTAGGCAAGTGTTCTACCATTAAACTACATCTATAGCCCTTTCTGATTTTTATTTTGAGTCATGGTCTCATTAAATTGCCCAAGCTAGCCTTGAATTTATAATCCTCTTGACTCATCCTCCAGACTATCTGGGATTACAGGCATGCTTCACTGTGCCTGGCTAATAAATACTTGTTTACCTTAAACAAGGAAAAAACCAAAACCAAAGCGAAACTCAAAGGCCTTATTTAACAAAATTCAGAGGTACACAGTGGTAATAGCAGTGCTTCTCTCCAGAATAAGAACAGATATAAAAGGTTCCTACTGTAATGCTTTGAGCACTTTGGGTAATGTGTCATTCAAGAACCTTCCTTTCTCTCTTTCATCTTCCTTTATGGACTTTTCTGATCTCTCTCCTGTCCCCAGATCTTCCTTTTTTTCTACATTTAAAAAAAAATTGGTGCATTATAGTTATACATAATGATGGGATTTGTTGTTACTATTTGTACATGTACACAGTGTAATGATATACTTTGGCCAATATCACTCCTCGCAACCCATCTCTCACCTCTGGGTCCCTTTCTTCTACTGATCTCTCTTTGATTTTCATGAGCTCTGTCTCTACCTTTCTTTTCCTTTCTCCTCTTTAGCTTCCACATATGAGAGAAAACATGCAACCCTTGACTTTCTGAGTTTGTCCCCAAATCTTGAACTCTAGTYATATTAGCCTTTATTCATTGTGTATGCTTTCTGGGTACTAGCTTATATTATTTCTTCTTTCCTTGTATAGTTACTTGTATCAYTTCTATGAAATATTCCAGAGAACATTCCCATTTTCTGGTTATCCAAAAAGGTTGGGAAAATTTTTCCAATGAAACTCCTGCTCCATGAACTCTCTCAAAACTCAGTGCTTCTCTTATGGCACTTAGGATCCTTGTTTTATGTTACAGCTACTAGTGTTATTGACTTAATCTAATCAATCACATTTATCAGTATTCCTTTGAGGGCAGAAACTATGGCTTATACATTTTCCACTCCATTTTCAAAACCCAATACAGTAGCAGGTCCTGAAGAAGAAAATCAAATTTTTGATTTTTTTCTAAGATTAAACAAATCAGTGTCATTAACAGTGACTACACATTAGAATCACCTAGAGTTATTATTTTTTTAAACTGTTAGGCTGTATGACAGACCAATAAATAATAAATAAAATACTATAGGCTCATTCTTATTGTTATTTTTATGATTCTGACAAACTTTATTTTGTCTAAATGAACCATGCTTTAAGGATTATGGATAGAATTATGTTTTCTCTTTATTAAATCTAGCTCTCCCTATTGCAAATCCAATATTTTGGCGGTTCAAAGTAATAAAAGGGCTGATATTCAGATAATCAAAGAGCAGGAGTATATCTACATTCCAGAAGTACCTTGACAAAACCTACCTTTGCTCTGTCAGCCTCAAGTGAAAGGCGATAGGCCTCATCTTGCTCTCTCTTCACATTTTCTCTGGCTTCACGTTCATCCTTAAAAGAAAGAAAAAAGAGTCAACTGAGTTTTAATATTTTTTTAAAGAAAAAAACTGATGGTAACCCCCTTGTATTATTTCTGCATGAATTTATTATTAAATAAGGAATGTTTTAGGTGTACCAGACATAAAAAAACAAACAATGAGTAATATGGTAATAAATAGTAAAGATGTTTAAATTCTAGCTCTGCTACTTATAAACTGTGTGTGTAAGTTATTTAACCTTTCTAGAGCTCTCTATTCCTTAATTGTAAAATAGACATAATATTTGTCTTCTAGGGTTATTGTGAGAATTAAATGCAACAATATGAAACTGCCTAACAAAGCATCTGACACTAGTTCATTTGCATAATTATTAGTTCCTTTTTGCCCTTATTTTGATTTTTTTCTAAGATTTAGAGACTGTTCATCAGTGGGACTAAGGACTGGGAAGAATGAAAGTAAAATATGCTTGTTATGTTAACCTCATTCGACACCTCAGCAGTAAAACTTTGCTCAWCAAGTAAGTATTTTACCACTACATTTATATTCATGAAGTGCAAGTAACAGAAGTTACCTAAGTTCGAAAATCTTGTTCAATATTTTAGCTTCTGAAGTGAGTATASCATCTGCCTATATATAAATCATGATTTCATATGAAATTAAAATTTAATTCACTAACAGAATTTCTCATTTGCAAAGCTCAGCAGTGTAGCCAATAATATACTTGTACTCAAACTTAATAAATACCCATACCTGTCCACATTAGTGTTGGTTCCCTTTAGTCATTTGTGTATTAGGTTGAACCATGTAAAGTCATCAATATTTGAATATTTTTGACCTATAAAACTGGAAATTTGTCAGGCACAATGGCACTTYGGAGACTAAGGCAGGCAGAGGATAAGTTCTAGTCCAGTCTAGGCAATCTAGTGAAGCCCTGTCTCAAAATAAAAGCTCTGTTAAGAATTATAATATTTCACTGATTCTCAGTCTTTCAACAAAAAAATCAGGAAGAATTAGATGTTGCTAACCTGAAGCTGAGTGTTATACTATGTATGATGAAAGGGTATAAGGGTATATTGGGGAAATTATATTTGGTAATAAAATATCCAGAACCATGTTTAACCTTAGAGATCACTCAGGCTACAAAGCAGTCAGAACAATTTATATGTCAAATAATATACCTGAATAAAAATGAATTTTAAAAGCATCTTATTAGAGACACATTTAGCACTTAGTATTTACATTTTAAAGTTGTAGTAGCATTTTTCTTTAATTACATTTCACTAATTTCAACTGATTATCTTTCATTTGGGTCTATTAACCAAGGTTTTACTATGACTAGACACAATCAAACTGCTAAGGAATATTTTTGTTTTTCTGTGTTTATCTGTATTTGCCTAATGCATTACTCTATGAACTCATTTCCCTACCCCAAACACAATTTATATAGAGTGGCTCCTTAATAGTTCATTTGACCATTGCTGATCTATATTTGATAATTATTTTCAGGTAATAGAAGAGAGAAGACTAGCATACTTGTGTTTTGAGTTCTAGCCCTGTCAGTAGCAAGCTATGTGTTTTGGGGTAAATATTGTCTTTCTTTTTAGACATCTATTAAAATAAAGAATTGAACTTCTAAGGATCCTCTGCCTTTATGGATAATGCATCTTTTCAAATTAATCTATCTCTAGAATACAATCAACAAATTATGAAAGTAATCTTACCTTTCTATATTTAAATGGGGAAATATTTAAGATGTTTAAAATTTTAATTTGACTTTACTTTCCTGACCTAAGACTTTTCAAATTGGTTTAGGTTTATCTCAGAACACATTTTCTGCTTTTCCTTTAAAGCATTTATCACAATTGCAATTAATTATCATATAATTATGTATTTAAGGTGTGTTTTTCCCACGATACTGTAACCTCCACAAATAGAAATCATCTATATTATATACCTCTGTATTCCACACACAGATTCAATCAATCTACATACCCACCTACCATTTTGGTGCTGGGGACTAAACCCAGGGCCTACAGCATGCTAAAATACATACTCTGCCAGTAAGCTATAGCCTATCCYCAAGTGTAACAATGAATAAATGAATCATCTTTCCAGGCATAAAATATCTATTGTTTGCAGTAAAAATTAAGGAGGAAAAAGATTCAGCTCATCCATAAAGTGGCCCCATCTGAGTCAATGCAATTGACTGGCTAGGCAGGAATGACTTGTTATGATACTATGTACATACAACAAAGGGATAAGCTATCACAGCTGGAAGCCATTTAAGCACAAATACAGTTTATAATACAAGCATTCTAAGTAAACAGCTTTGTTTTAAAACAGACTGTTGCAGATATTAAAGGCTGTTAAATATAAGATCTCTGCCCCAGAATGTGGCACCGGTTGTGAGAGGGTTTCCTGACCAATTAACTTCCTTCCTGCCTACACTTCTTTTCTCCCTTCCTCTTCCCTTCCCTCTCAACAAATCCTTCTTGGACATGCCACCCCAGTCACCCTTGTTATAAAGTCTACTGATCTATGTTAAGTGTTCAGATTTTATGTTATTTTAAATACTACAACTACTTTGGAAATCAGTCTGGGAGTTTCTTAAAAAAGTTAACAACATATCTATCATATGACCTAGTCATTTCAGTATTAATTAGTTACCCAAGACAAATGAGTACACATGTTCATACAAAAATATGTACACAACAGATAAAACCTAGGAAATAGTCCAATTATTCATTGTGAAAGTTATCAGAATAAAAATAGATTTACTTGTAAAAACAAAACAATAAATAAATAAAAGCTGTGAGGTTATGAAGGAAGAGTTTCTCACACAATTGCCTTTTAGTAATTACCAGAACCACATTAGTAATGCATTATTAATGCCAGAACCACAACCCTGCATAAAATCGACTACTTTTATTTAAAAAAAAAAATACTTTTGCAAGGATATCTGACCAGCTACTGTCTGTCAACCACAGACTGGCATCCTCATTTTTGGCTAAGAAATTTCTCCTTGACCTAACCTTTTTGAACATGCTGAAAGGTTACTATGGCATATTTATTTTCACTGCAATGCTATTCCCCAATAAAAATTAATAAATTTTCAGAGAATCTCTTTCTGATTTACTTAATTGATACCATCAACAGGTGAACATTTAAAAAATCCCTGARTACATAAATATAAAAACTAATATTTTTAGGTTATTGGGGATTGAATTCGAGGGTGATTTATCACTGAGCCACATCCCCAGCTCTTTATTTTTTGAGAAAAAGTCTCACTAAACTACCAAGGTTGGCCTTGAACTTGTAATTTTCCTGCCTCAGTCTCCCAAGAGGCTGTACTGTATCTGGCAAAAATATGAACACTACTGAAAGCAACATTAGGGGCTTTTGTCAAACTATTCCTTGTTCAGAGCAGACAGACACTGGAACCTCTGTCATAATACTACATAACAATTCCTCTTAATATGATTTCAGAGAATGGTAAGCCCTTTATTAGCTGCATTTACATACATTTTAAGCCAATTATAATCGGGTATGGTGTCCTCTAAATCCATTGAGTTAGAGACTGAAAGGAAGAGGCAAGATCAGAAATGAGAGACTTAGGTTYGAAGGTAGTCAACACAAAGCAGAATCAAGACCCAAAACAACAGCACTGAAATGCAGGGTTAAATCAATCTGCTCAACTTCATTCAAAAAACAGTGAAAACAGAGACAGAGAATAAACAACTAAGAACTGAAGCTACTGATTCTTAGCTTTGCCCTTTTCATTTTCTTAGATGAAGATGATGATGATGGTGGTGGAGGTGGTTGCTATGGTCATGTAGCTGTGTCTCAGAGGTAGTGCACTTGCCTGGCATGTATGGGGCACTGGGTTCAATTCTCAGCACCATAAATAAATAAATAAATAATAAAGGTCTATCAACAACTAAAAAAATATTAAAAAAAAAAAAAAGAACAGGGCTGGGGATGTGGCTCCAACGTTAGCGTGCTCGCCTGGCATGCATGCGGCCCAGGTTCGATTCTCAGCACCACATACAAACAAAGATGTTGTGTCCGCTGAAAAACTAAAAAATAAATATTAAAATTCTCTCTCTCTCTCTTAAAAAAAAAAAGTAGACTGACAATCTTTCCATTGCATAATAGAAAAGTAAGGATTTTGGCATTCAGAGTGAATTACACAGAATCTGCCATGTCTATTCAATGGTTGGTTGATGGGAACTGAGATCAGGCAGTAGTCTCATAAGTACAAATTTTAATCATCATCATCAGCTATTGGGAGGCCAGACTTGCCTTATATGTTGGCAGCCTGGTTTTAAGATCCAGCTTCTTTAACAATGAATAAAGTACTAAATTGGAATACTATATCTTATTCAAGCTTTCTTGTGTGTATATATATATGTGTGTTATGAACTAATCAGAAAGACAGATATGACACTGCAATTTGAGCTATTTGGCTATTTTTTCAATGTTTTTTTAAAAGGTATTTATGCAAAATTTAAAAATGCAAAAGTTTAATTATTCTTAAAGGCAATACTATTACTATAGTTAGGTGGTAGTTGATCAAAATTATGAATACCTTGAATGCCACTGAGTTGTATGCTTTACAACAGTTAACCATACATTATGTGAATTCCACTTGCATTAAAAAAAATTCCTAAAACCAAAACAAACAAACAAACAAACAAAGCAAAACTGTGGTATGTACATATTGTGGAATAATGTTCAGCAATGAAAAGGAATGAGTCAGTGATAAATGCAACAATGGGGATGATCTCAAAACAATTATGCTGAACACAAGTTTAGATCTTGAATGTCTCCCAAAGGCTTGGTTCCACAAGGCAGGATTGTTCAGAGGTGGAGCTTTGGGGAAGGGACTAGATAATGAGGTATTATGGTTGGGCTATGATGTGTTCCCCAAAGCTCCTGTGTTAAGACCCCCCCTTTTTTTTTGCATGCTGAGGACTAGAACCCAGTGCCTTGTGCAAGTGAGGCGAGCACTCT